TAAAAATAAATTGTTTTATTAAAATTAATTTCTAAGAAAAAATAATTATTTGAATTATTTAAGAAAGAAAATAATATATTGTTTCTTAGAAACGCTAATTTTTTCTAACAAACTAAAATGCAATTTTTGCTTCTCAGAAAGATTTTGTTGTTTCTAAGAAATTTTTATAATTTTGAAAAAACAAAATTAGCTATATCTATTTAAAATACAACTAAAATTGTTACGGTTGAACAAATTTTCAAATTGCAGGAAAAATAAACCCTGAAATGGAAAAAGTTCAATAAAACAAATAATAAGGGATGGAAGAAGTTATTCGACTTTAATAAATTTTAGAAGTTTTTGAATTTTCAATTTTAATTTTAGAGAATTACAAGAGTTATACTTTAAATACTTAAATTTGCTTTGCAAATAAAACAATGCTCAATGGAGCATAGACCCCAAACATGTATAAAAAAACATGTATATAAAATATATATACAAACGGATAAAAAAATATGCATACAATAAGTCAATGACAATGCAAAACTTATCAAGTTTTTACGCTTTCCTAACTTTTTTTATATTTTATTTTTATTTAGGTGCTCCAAGAAGTCTTAACAGCCTTTTCACAGAACACAGTGGTAAAAAAGATTATGCCTCCTCCTTACCAATAACGCATTTATGGTCAGAGCCGGTTTCAAACCAGACCTGAACTCTAACCGCTACACCGCAGCTGCTTTCAGATCTTAAGGATGTTATTTGTATTATTATTGTTAACATGTTAGTCTGTTTACATTTACTATTAGGTATCCGAACAACAAACAGTTTTGGCACAATATTGTGTATATTGGTCAATCAAGATATATTGCTTTAATTTTTGATAATATTTGTATGCAAATAATTGTGGAATATTTTCTGTTTTTCCGGAACGAAAATAAATGTTAAAATTGTTTAATGTTTAATCAAACAGCTTTTATTTTAACAACACATTTTGCTTTAAAAACACATTTTATTTTAACAACACATTTTATTTTAACAACACATTTTATTTTAACAACACATTTTATTTTGACAATTAATTTCTTAAAGTCTTTATTATTCCTTCACGGTTAGCACGGATCCTTATAATGCCTACCTAGCTGTCTCAAGAACGCCACTTATACGGAAAGTAAGCGTACACATCAAGGTACCCTGTGATGCAAATTTTGAAATCATTTAATTTTGTCCGCGGAAAATAATTTAATTTGAATGTTCAAATTAAGTCAAATTTTGACTTCATAGTGCGCCAATAAAAACACTTGTAGAATTGAAGAATTTGAACCACTCAATATAATTTGGACAAAATTTCAGTCTGATTGAATAACTGGTGGAGGATTTATTGCAGTTTTAGTTAAAGTTTTGTCAGTTTTTTGCTACTTATGCCTCAAAGCGTTACCGATTACTTTGAAATTCGGTCACTATTTTTAAAATAACGGTTGCATAAATGTTCTACTATGTAATTCCAACAATTTTTAGTATAATTATTATATCGACACATGTACAGTTCTCATTTTATAGGCCAAAATTGTGATTTTCTAATTAAAGCGTGATTTAAATAGTCTTATGCTAATAGTGTCGACACGGCCTTCAAAGTAGAGGGGGTCAACCCCTCAATTTCTTAAATAAAATCCATAATTTCTAAAATAATTGCCTATATTTCTAAAACAAAAGGTCCTTGCAAAAAAAATTAAGAAGGACATAACCCCCTAGCCTTCCCGGCGTTGACAGCCATGTATGTTTCTTTTAAACATACCAACATATCCTAAGATATAAACTGCTGCCAAAAAAAAAAGCTAAAAAAAAGTGCAAAACCTGGTCAAAAGACTACCAGTAAATGAAACAAAAAAAAAAGTAGTTCTCCTAAAATATTTTGAACTGACCTACTTAAATACATTTACTTTTAAAATGAAGTGAAAACTATTTAAACTATATTTTTTACTTTGTATTACCATCAAATATCTAAATACACTTTAAGAAATGTTTTTTTGAATTTCTCACCAAAATATTATTAATAAATAGCTCAATGTACTCTTTTAATACAAATACTCTATGATACTACTTTTAAAAATGGTAAAAATATTCATTATACGCCGTAAAGTATGAATTTCAGCTGCCTAATTTCTATTCACTCAAATTATGTTCTTTAAATGTGCTTACTGTTTAGATCAATTATGCAGCGCAACAATCTTTCTTTGTACTCTGGATGATTATTATTTCGCTTATACCTCGACCAATGTTGATAAAAATCTTGATGAGAAGTTTCGACAGTTTGTTCACTATAGAGCCCCAAGGGGGATCCTTTGTGACTGATGAAATCCTTGATGTGGTAGAAGACGGCATGAATTTTGGGTGTTACGCTTGCACCAGTTATCATTAGGTAACACTTTTTGAAATTTTCAATTTTTTCAGCAAAATCCGGCTGAAAGATGTATCCAAAGCAAGCCTTGACAACTAAATTGAAACTTTTGAATGCTTCAATTATGCACAGTTGCTGCAGCATATCCACATTTATAAGAAACTTCCTGCCTTCATTTCCCTCAAACTGACCCCCGTAATACGGGCTCAGTTAAATGTGGAGGGCGTCTGGCCACTTAACAACTTCTATCCAAGCAGTTTTAAGGATCTTGAAAAGATGGTTGACAATTCCTAAGAGGAGAAGAAATTCCATCGGTGAAATGATTTCTGAAATCAGAACATTGACAGGCCGCAGATGATTGGCTTTCGAATGACATTGCCAAACAGCTTTGCATTAGCAACAACCCCGCCAGATTTCTGAAAAGACTCAAGGCTTGAATAAATTGAGCCCAGTGTTCGCAAGTTATCAGATTTGGCATGACAATTGGATTTGACGTCACACCAGGTGCAGGGGTGCGTACTTAAATGAGTTTGAAGACCACAAATTATATTTGTAACTTTCATATCACAAGCCAAAATTAGTTAAACTCCATTTGCATTAATCAGTGACCAGATTTGTTCAATATTGGAGTGTATTTCTGGCAAATCTTCTGAATCCCCAACAATAATTTGTCTCTTGACTCCAGTGTCTTTACCATTCCTTTGAGTGAGAGGTTGTTGTTGGTGCGGTGAGCTGGTTTTATCTCTTAACGCAGTATCAACAATGCTTAGACTAAACTTGAGAAAACCTTTGCCACCATCAATTCTGAGCTTAAAAAAACTATTGTTAAGCTCAGAATTGATGGTGGCAAAGGTTTTCACTTCGAAGGCCGTGTCAACGCCATTGGCATAAGCCAATTCAAATCACGCTTTAAGTAGCAAATCACTGTTTTGGTCAATAAAATGAAAACTGTAAAATAATTAAAACAAAAATTGTTGGTATTACATAGTAGAACACTCATGTTACCGTTATTTTAAAAATATTGACCGAATTTTAAAGTAATCTTTATTATTCATGGCCTGCCCACTTTTTTAACGCTTTGAGGTATAAGTAGCAAAAAACTGACAAAACTTCAACTAAAACTGCAATAAATCCTCCACCAGACATCCAATCATGCTGAAATATTGTCCAGAGTTTGGTGTGACTATTGGCTACATTTGCACCAATTTTTATCAAATTATATTAAGTGGTTCAAGTTCTTCAATTCTACAAGTGTTTTTATTGGCGCACTATGAAGTCAAAATTTGACTTAATTTGAACATTCAAATTAAATTATTTTCCGCGGACAAAATTAAATGATTTCAAAATTTGCATCACAGGGTACCTTGATGTGTACGCTTACTTTCCGTATAAGTGGCGTTCTTGAGACAGCTAGGTAGGCATTATAAGGATCCGTGCTAACCGTGAAGGAATAATAAAGACTTTAAGAAATTAATTGTCAAAATAAAATGTGTTGTTAAAATAAAATGTGTTGTTAAAATAAAATGTGTTGTTAAAATAAAATGTGTTTTTAAAGCAAAATGTGTTGTTAAAATAAAAGCTGTTTGATTAAACATTAAACAATTTTAACATTTATTTTCGTTCCGGAAAAACAGAAAATATTCCACAATTATTTGCATACAAATATTATCAAAAATTAAAGCAATATATCTTGATTGACCAATATACACAATATTGTGCCAAAACTGTTTGTTGTTCGGATACCTAATAGTAAATGTAAACAGACTAACATGTTAACAATAATAATACAAATAACATCCTTAAGATCTGAAAGCAGCTGCGGTGTAGCGGTTAGAGTTCAGGTCTGGTTTGAAACCGGCTCTGACCATAAATGCGTTATTGGTAAGGAGGAGGCATAATCTTTTTTACCACTGTGTTCTGTGAAAAGGCTGTTAAGACTTCTTGGAGCACCTAAATAAAAATAAAATATAAAAAAAGTTAGGAAAGCGTAAAAACTTGATAAGTTTTGCATTGTCATTGACTTATTGTATGCATATTTTTTTATCCGTTTGTATATATATTTTATATACATGTTTTTTTATACATGTTTGGGGTCTATGCTCCATTGAGCATTGTTTTATTTGCAAAGCAAATTTAAGTATTTAAAGTATAACTCTTGTAATTCTCTAAAATTAAAATTGAAAATTCAAAAACTTCTAAAATTTATTAAAGTCGAATAACTTCTTCCATCCCTTATTATTTGTTTTATTGAACTTTTTCCATTTCAGGGTTTATTTTTCCTGCAATTTGAAAATTTGTTCAACCGTAACAATTTTAGTTGTATTTTAAATAGATATAGCTAATTTTGTTTTTTCAAAATTATAAAAATTTCTTAGAAACAACAAAATCTTTCTGAGAAGCAAAAATTGCATTTTAGTTTGTTAGAAAAAATTAGCGTTTCTAAGAAACAATATATTATTTTCTTTCTTAAATAATTCAAATAATTATTTTTTCTTAGAAATTAATTTTAATAAAACAATTTATTTTTAAATTGTCTTTTTTCAGAAACAAAAATCCGGAAATAAAAAGCTTTTCGCTTCCAAGAACTTTTTTTGTTTCTAAGAATGAAAAAAATTATTTCTAAGAATAATTTTTCTTTTCCGAGAAGTTTTAAAACAGATAAAAAGATTAGCATCTTTTTTTTGTAACAAACATTTTGTGCAACAGCTGTATTATAGCAGACAAAAACCTATATCAAAAACTTAAAACATCAGGTATAAAAAGGTAAGAATGCTTTAATATTAAATGCTTTAATATTATAGTATTATAATATTAGTAGGTATAAAATAATAATCTTTAAAAAGATATAAAATTATATAAAAAGAATGCTTTAATATTAAATATTTAAATAATTTAAATATTTAAATATTTATTAAAAATTTAATAAAAAAGAATGCTTTAATATTAAAGCGTTATAATATTATTTATAAAAAATAAAACATTTTATTTTATTTAAGCATTTTAATATAATATAAAATAATAAAGCCTTTTAATTTATTTCCAAATCACTGCATATGGAATCCTGGAAAACTGTTTTGCTTCTTGAATGATAGAACTAATGTTACTGTAATGATGCTCTTTAGTGAGCTGAACTTGCTTGGTATGGAGGATAAACCACAATACCAGAACGGTGTAAACAAGGCTTAATAAGTTATCTTCTTTTCAATAAAGTAAACTTTGTAAAATATTTTTACTAATCATTATGTAAAAAATAATTGCAATCAAAAAACAATGATCAAGATTTCCATGGTTATTGCTTTAACCAAACATAATTTAAATTGTCTAAGTTTATGCTGCAATAATGCTATGAACTATTTAAACTGAAAATTTTACTAAATTTATTTTAATAACTATTTAATTATTATTTTGCACTAATCAATTCTAATTATATAACTAATTTATAAAACAATGGTTAACCTAGTTGTTTTTTCAAAGATTTTCAAAATTGAGTTTTTCAAAGAATTAGCTAAATTGAGTTTAAGCTTAATTGAGAATTAGCTAAATTGAGTTTAAGAAATTTATTTGTTAACGACTCAATTTTCTATTACTTTCTATAATGTTTTAAATAAATTGTTTTTTAATTATTACATGATTTTTTAATTTAGATGAATTCTAACAAATCATACATGACTACTGATGCTGCTGCTCGAATTCAGTCCAATTCGGCAAGAATGGAAGGAGGGGTTAAGTCAGGAGGTTTTGCTTCGCGTGCTCAATCAGCCGCATCAACAAATATTAATAAAGGTGTAACTTCACATCAGGGAGGAAAACGCTGATTAAAAACACTTGTTTAAAGTGGATATTTTAAAAACATTTTTTTATTTGAATAAAATTGTTATTGTTAATTTTTTTTTCAACAACTTAATCTTAAATATTTCATCATTTCACAATTTTGAAATGTTTGTCAAACTTCTTTAAATCCCCTTCTGCAACAAATTTTTTTTTTTTTTCATTAAGAATTTTTGACAATAAAGATTCTAAAGGTTTTGACAATAAAGGTTCTAAAGGTTTCTGACAATAAATGTTTTTGCTCGACCCTAAAAAGTATTACTAACATGAAAACTTTTAATTCGAACTTAAACAAATGTTTGGGCATTTTAAATTTTGTTTTTGGTATTATCCGCGTCTTTTTTGATAAAAAAATATTTTTAATTGGAGTCAACTACCTACTGATGATGTTGATGCTGTTTCTGTGAGGTCCTTTAAAGATAAACTTGACATGGATTTTAAAAAAGTTGATTATGAGATTTTTCTAAATAAACGAGATAATTATGGGGGAAATAACAACTTTAAATGGTTACCTTAATTTATTTTTATTGTTATTATTGTTGTGGGTGTATAGCCTGTCTTATTTATTTTTAAATATTCCTCTAATTAATCTTTATTTTTGTCTTGACAACTGTCAAAATATGCTTTGTCTAATAAATAATTCTCCTTTATTCTAATGTACTTCATTGCTTCCCTTAGGCGTTCACTGCTCGTGTGTGACCATTCGGCGAATTTTATATGCCAAAGTTTTTAAATAATATAATTGGTGAAAAATACAGAATGAATAGATATATTTATAAATGTTTGTATGTATCCATGTATGTAACTAATCTATGTTTTTTGTAATTTTTTATTTTTGAACCATATAGTTTGCTATATAACATCCCATTTCCTGGTAAGTAATTAAAAATTTAAATAGCCTTTCAAAACTTTTTAAACAACTTTTAAAAGCTTTTTTAAGGATGAATATAACTTTATAGTTTATTTAAGCTATTAAAAATATTAAAGTTATTTCCAAATTTAAAAATTTGTATCGTACAAGCAATTTTTAGTTTGTCAAAAACAATAACTCATCTAAATAAAAATAATAAGATAAAAATAGAAATAAGAGGTAACAAATGTGAAATAAAGAACGTGCTATTACATCAACTACTGAAATCGTACAGTTTTCAATTTACTAAGTTTTAGGGGAAGGTTGTGTAAGTTGAGCATATTTTCAGTGTAATATATTTTGCTCCCAAAAGATTACAAAATGATATATATATTTTTAAGAATAATGATAACTTCATCTTTCATCTCAAAGAATATAAATAAATAATTCATTTAAAAAAAATCTTTATACCAAAAATTGCGTTTTCTTCAACATACTCAATCATTTCATCTTAGGAAACCAGTTTCCCAAGATGAGCTTTTTTTAATAGAACTCAAAATAACAAAAAAATAATCACAAAAAAAAATTTAATAAAATTGTATCTTCAAGGACTATACTTAAGTAAAAAGTAATAATCTCAACCATAAAAAAACAAAACAATAATAAATCTTTCCAATCTCTAAAAAAGTTAACGATTTTTTTGAAAAAACTTTCGCTCTTGAAATGCCAAAAAAAAGCTTCGCGATGAATAACTTTAAAAAAACGCGATTTTTTAATAAAAAGCCGCATCTCATCTTGAGCGTCTAAAAACGTATCATCTTAAGCAACTCCATCAAGTACCATCATAATTTAAATAGCATGACAACAGCTATGTATTATCTCATGTAACCTATGGAATTAGTAGTAGATAAGCATAAAATATTGAGGATGTAATAAATTTTTGATTATCTTGTTTTGTTCTGACGTATTTACAAAATATTGAATAATAAAAAATAATAACGGGGAGAGTAAATTTTTTTAACAGTAAAACAATCAAAGAATACTAGCTATACAACCAAGAAATTAAAATAAATAACACTGCCGAACTTGTATAAATATCCTTAACTAAAAAAATTTGCGAAAATATCAATAGCCTTTTCATAAAAAAGGTTATACGATCTTCGGAACCTGCTCATCTTACGCAACCTTTCCCTATATGAATTTATAAATAATAAATTGTATCCTTTTTAGATATAAACCAATTAAGGTTGACATATAAGAAATCTTGCATCTAAGTTTAAGCCACTTATAAATAAAAACTTCTTCACTTTCTATGAACACTTTCATTTCACTTTTAGAAAGTAAAAACCGCCATTTTAAACTCCCTGGTAATGTAATCAAAATAATATATTAAATATCTTTTAAAATGTTTCAAGATGAGGTTTTTTTTCGAATTTAAGATAGTAAACTATAAACAACGGTTATAACTGTTTTTTTTTTTTATTTAATTCATTACAAAACTTTATGGTGACGCAGGATTTTTTATTTAGTTTTTGAATTTTTTGGATTTCAGGATTTTTTATTTAGTATTTGGATTTTTTATTTAGTATTTTTTATTTAGTATTTGGTTTTTATAACACGGTTTTATAAAAAAAAATATATAAATATATATATATATATATATATATATATATATATATATAAATTATGTATAAATGTGTATGTGTATCTGTGTAAGTATTTATGTATGTATACTGGTATACATTTGGGTGTATATGTGCTGTTAGTATGGGTATGTGTGTGCTTGCAGTCTATGTATATTCAAAAAAAAAAAAAAAAAGAATAGTGCTGCATAACCTCTGGCGTAGGAACACCCAACTAAAACTGCTTGGCAATCGTTAGGCTGGATTAAGATTCGGTGATACCACCTATAATCGCTTGTGGTAAGATGGTAAAGATGCAAACACAATATAATATAACTTAATATATACACAATATATACTTAAAAAAAAAAAAAAAAAACTATATTAGAACAAGAGCTAATTATCAACAAGAATGTCCACCCCACCCTGGTTTTATTTTCTACAATTTTAATGCAAGAAATGTTCAATTATTATTTTTTTTAATCTATTCGATTTATATTAACATCACTAACACACTATGACGTCATCAAACACATCAATAAATATACTGAATTATATTAATTATTTTTAACTATTCTTTGCAACAGTTTATATAATTATTTATCGAAACAAATCTAATTCAAAAGCGAGTAAACATTTAGAAAAAATCAATAAAAATGAACTCATTTAAAGCGTTTTGATTACTGCGGTTCTCTACGACAAGACCTCAAGGACTTCTTCGAGTTTCCGCATTCTTTATTCCTAATTTTTATTGTTATATTTATTATTATATTTTTATTGTTAACGAAATCTTTATTGTAAATATTATTTCTTTTTTATATCTTATATGTTTATATATGTTTTATATGTTTATATATGTTTTATATGTTTCGAAAATCGTTTCTATAATATTTTATGTTTTATGTTTCGTTGTAAAAGTGAACGACCATTGTCCAATTTCAAAGATCTTTTTACTTATAAAGCTATAAACAAATATGCTTTACGAAATAATAATTTATTAATTGAACCCTTTTGTCAAACAAAGTTTAATCAATTTTGCATAAACTATAGAGCACCGTATTTATGGAACAAAATTGTTGTTCCAAATTTTGATTTGTCGATTTCGTTTTCCGTTTTTAAAACTAAATTAAAAAACTATATTCTTTCTACTGGCAATATATATAAATATTTTTGAAATGTAAAATTCTTTTTTTTTACTCTGGATAATTTGTAAAATTATTTTCAGTTTTTGTTTCTTCTACATTGTTATTAGTTATTTGATCAATTATATTTTATTTTATTATATATACACGTATTATATCTTTTATATGGTTCTGGCGACAAGATCATTTGGATCTTCTTTCAGATACCAAGTTTATATATTGTTATATTGTTATATTACGATTAATAATTGTAAACTGAAAAAAAAAAAAAAAAAAAAAAAAAAAAATCTTTACGTTTTATTCACACATAATGTTATAATAGAAATTGTAATAATGATTGTAATAAAGAATAAAAAGAAAAACAAAAAAAAACAAACAAAAAAAAAAGGATGTGTCGCTTTTGCTGCGGGAATTAAGGTTTAAAGTCAGGGTTAAATTAATTTATTTTAATCTATTCTATTAATTCTGTTTATTTTAATTTATTTTGTGGCTTCTTTTAATAAATAACGCATATCTGTTTTTATGGACACGATTTTATTTTTTTAATGACAAAAATATTTCCGGTTGGAGAAAAAGTAGCTTGCTTTATTTTGCTCGGTTTTTGAGTTACTGATAAAAATATTTTGTGATATTATTTTGTGATTTTGTTATATTATAATATTCTATATTAACGTGAGTTGTGCATATTTCTGACGTGTTTCTTAGAATTAAGATTATGACGTGTTATGTTATTAAACTTTGGAATTTTAAAAATATTTTTACACATTCTTGTTGAGCTATTGTGGAAAGTTATTTCTTAATTTTTATTACTAATTAATAATTATAAATTTATTTATGTTGTGAAAATTGTAATATACGAAATTTTGAATCGAAAACTTTTCAGCCCCCACCTTTCTATTTCTTAATATTGATCGTGTAAATTTTTATTATATTTTTGTATTTTAAAGTTTATTTATTTTTTTTTTTTACTATATAAATTTATTAAAGTCGTAAAGCATAACATATATAAAAATAGCAGGGGCAAGAAGAAGACATAATTTGTCTTATCATCAAGCCCCTTGATCTATACCGTAAATATAAAATAGCGTAATAAATTAAAAAAAAAACGTAACACAATATAATATTAAACACTTTCTTAAGATTTTATAAATAAAAGTAATAGTTCTTAATGTTCTTTAACTTTAACTTTTTAGTTTTGTATTGATTATGAAAATTTTAAATACAAATTTAAAAAAAAAAAAAAAGAATTTAAAAAAAATTTTTTTGCATAATAAAAACTCTATTAATAAAAAGCATGCAGGCAAATACTCATAGTCCTGAAGCTTTCCTTTTACACCAGCAGATACCTTAAGTTATCTGGAGAATTTTTATAAATCATAAGTTTTTATAAAAGAAGAAATGAATCAGTAACAAGTGACACGATCCTTTCTAAGATCGTCAAG